AAAAAAGATAGTAACAACTGACACCACTATCTATTGCCACATTTTATTTTTAAAGGATATTTTAACTCGGTTTGAAAGAACATAATTTCAGAATAAAAGATCTTTAAATTGAATAATTTAGCTTTATCAAAAACTTTATTGCCCCCCCACCTTCAGTACTAGGGATTGAACCCTGGATGTTGTACCACTGAGCTACACCTCCCCATGGCTGGCCTTAAATTTGTGGTCCTCCTGCCTCACCTTCTCCAGTAGGGATTACTGGTGTGTGCCACTGTGCACACTGTTTTTATTTTTTTCACTTTTACATAAATTGGTGAAAACTCTGCTGTAAACCTGAACGAGCCTGTCAACCAAAATTAAGTAAGCACTTCTTGATTCCCTTAGTTTGGTGCTTCAAACTCAAATCCAAATGATCTGGGTGGGCTCCTAGTTCTACCACTGCTTAGACTTGTGACCTAGAGCCAGTTATGTTCATGGGACCTCTGTTGATTCTTAGGTTAAGTAGGGATATCAAAACCTATTTTGCCAGATTAAGGTTGTGGCTCAGAGGTAGAGCGCTTGCCTAGCATGCTGTGAGGCACTGGAAACCACCAGTTTGGAAACCAGATTTCCAAACTGGTGGTTTCCACATAAAATAAAATAAAGATATTGTGCCCACATATAATTAAAACAAATGTTTTTTTGAAAACCTATTTTGCCAAATCAGTGTTAGGATTAAAGATGAACTAAAAGTATATACTCAGTTATACCTGTTGTTGATGGGAGATGTTCTGTTTTTTGCAGTGTCAGATCATTCGTGTGTTTAAGTAAAATGAGTTTCTTGTTTTAGGTTAGTCATTTGTGTATTTAAGCATTAATTGTTTTAGTATAATTTATTGCTTACTCCCTGTCAAAGCATCAAGATGTAAAACATTTAAAACAATTTCAGCCCAAGCTCAATGTCATACACTTGCAGTCCTACCTACTCAAGAGTCTGAGGCAGGAGGATTGCAAGTTTGAGACCAGCCTGGGCAATTTAAGTTCCTAAGCAACTTAGTGACCCTGTTTCAAAATAAAAAGGGTGGAGCATAACCCAGTGGTAGAGCCCCCCAGGATTCAATCCAGTACCACGAGAAAAAAAAAGGAAAGTTTCAGAAGTAGTGCAAGAAAAACAAAATAATATGCAGAATACTCTTTGTAGGTATTTCCTATAAGTTGCATTAGACTCCCTAGAAGGATTTCTATGTAAAATAGTACAGATAATCTTGAAAGATTAATAGACTTAACAATTCACAAAACATTTCCTTGTTTTACAAAATGTTTTACTTGTACCTGTTCTATAGCTAATAAATAAATAAAAACCCACCACCTATTCACTACTCATTTCCCATTGAAATAATGCAGTTTTATAATCTGTGGATTTTTATTGCTGCTCTTTGTCCGACAGATTCAGAGGTCCTGGCCTGCCCAGGGTAACACAGGAAGTAGAAGGTTAAGATTGGAAATCTGGTTTCCAAGCTGGTGGTTTCCAGAGAACTAGCTTGGATCCCTGATCTATCCCTTGTGTGATTATCATGCAGGCCTGTRTTTGCTGTTTGAGATTTGAAGGATGGCTTAGCAGGTATAGTAAGGTCTCCTTTCCCCCCATTCCAGAAGTGTGCTCCTCCCTGTAACTCAGGAGGCTGTAGAACTTTACAGAGCCACTTTATTCCTTTCGGCATAGAAACAACCATATTGTTACCATCATTTTTTTAAACATGA